ATGAGATGATGTAGGGAGGAGAGTTTTGGTGACAATCCAGCTGTAGCATAATGCTCAGCTTGAGACCTTGAACAACATTGCTCGGTGTAATATTCTGTAAAATACATGTAACTCTTGAGGTGCAAATATATATATATATATATAGGGTGGCGGAAGGGATATGAATTCAATCATTCCACTAAAAAATATTCCATTACACATAACAGGAGTTCACTATATTTAATTTCTTTATCTAATGTTATCTATAGATGAATTTTTAGCAAGTCACTAGTTGCAATGCTATTTGTGTTAGGAAAGATTTGTATTCCCCTCACCCTCTGTCAGACAGCCCCTGCAGTGTTGAGGAGGATGAAAGGCCCAGGGAAGCAGAGCAGTCAATGGGAGCAGAGGGAAACCTTCCCATAGTTGGGACCCTCCTTCCAGATGGTGTTGGGGTGTCCTCTCACACTGAGGTTACATCTCCGGGGGAGGGAACTCCAATCACTAGAAAAAGGCAGGTGTTAGGAATGGGAGATTCAATCATTAGAAACATAGATAGCTGGGTTTGCGATGACCAGGAGAACCATATGGTGATTTGCCTGCCTGGTGCGAAGGTTGCAGTTCTCTACCAGCATCTAGATTGACTTATGTGTAGTGCTGGGGAGGAGCCAGTGGTCACTATCAGAAGACAGGATATTGGGCTAGATGATCTGACCCAGTATGGCCATTCTTTATGCCCTTATTTGCATCAGGGAAGTTCCACATGCATTTTCAGAGGAGACAGATTTGAGACGCCACAATTTAAAGTTGTGTATTGCAAACAACATTAAGTTCTGTTGAATGGATTCCTTGTATTCTTCCTTCCTCTGGGAGCAGCCTCAGAAGTTTAGATATTTAGGTCTCAGTTGAGTCCAGAAGTCTATATATATATATAATTCATATATTCTGGTTGGACCAGAAACATGGCAAAAATTATTAGACTGGATAAGATCTGAGATCCATCTAGTTCAATATCCTGTCTATGACAGTGTTCAGTACCACATGTTTCAAAGGAAGGTGCAAGAAGCCCTAAACTATTCCATTATGGTGTAACTTATCCACAGGGAAATTTTCTTCCTTGACTTCATTAGTTATAAAGTGGTTTGAAGCATGGGGGTTTATATCTGTGTGTGTGTTTCCCCTCCACCACTCCCCAATCCAATCTATTGTGTGAAAATTAAAGAAAAACCATGTGGTGTTCTTTGAAATTTAGAAAAGTTTTGGTTCTGTTTCTAGCTGGAGTTTATTTTACCTGGACCACTTCGCTCATTCCAAATAGGAAATCATTTGAAATGGAATTTAAAAAAAATTAATGGAGATATCCCATCTCCTAGAACTGGAAGGGACCTTTAAAGGTCATTGAGTTGAGTTGAGCCCCCTGCCTTCACTAGCAGGACCAAGTACTGATTTTGCCCCAGATCCCCAAGTGGCCCCCTCAAGGACTGAACTCACAACCCTGGGTTTAGTAGGCTAATGTTCAAACCACTGAGCTATCCCTCCCCCTAAATCACTTTCCTATTGTATTTTTCAATACACTCCTAGTTATAGTACATAAGTATTAGAACTGATGTCAAGCTGCAAATCATGACAAATCTTCAGTTTGATTCTGAAAATTTTGAAGATATGTGACTTCCTCCAGTCTCTTCTGTTTTGCACTTACCCATGTGGAAATGTTCAATATTTTTTTCCTCATGGATAACAAATGGCATCAGTAATGTTCCTGGAAAAATTAACCAACAAAACACATTTACAGCAGAAAACATTTAAGAGGTATTAGCATTCCGGATGTACAGAACACAATGTATTGTTATCTAGTTTATAAATGAATCAAGGAAAATACTGAATAGTTGTAACGACTTCAGGCTCCACAAAGCTTAGAGCTTGATCCATCTCTGAAATTTTGCAAATTCCAGACCTGTTGGAATGCAAGATTTTGAACTTTTCCATTGTAGAGATGGAGTAAGCAATGGATATTAGATCTGGACTTGAATTAAAACTTCATCAGTGTCTCCAGGAGATAGATATAGGTTTGGTTTGGTCCCAACTCTAGTAAAATTTAGCACTGGTCTCTTATTGTGTATCATAAATTACCTGTGCCCTAAAATGTATATACTGTCTTATATTCAGGTCCAGAAGATGCTTCTAATGTCAGAGTTCTGAGTGACTAGGCAGAATTAAAGGAAACCAGTGGGAAAATCTAAGAAAGGTCTCTTTGTTTTTAACTTAGTCTTGACTCCATAATTAGCAGCCATGCCAAAGGGGAGAAGGAGGTATGTGGAAACCAGCATCCAAAACCCAAGAAAAACTGCAAATTAACAGGTGGACTGCCCCAATCCCATTTGCATAGAATAATTAATGCATGCTAAAATAGATCACTGCAAGCATGGCACGAAAGGTGTTTTGGCAGTTAGTCCAACACATATACCTGCAGTAACATGTCAGAATAAGCAGAATAAACTAATTTGTATCCTTTCGCAACATTACTTTACTGTACTGCCATGTCTCGAAACAAAGGGCAGAAGAGGGGATGTAGAAAGACAGGCTTTGAGAAAATGCATGGAATGAGTGAATGACAGCAGCAAACTTGCCTTGCTGAATAAAGCATTCCAGGCCCAGGCCCTTTCTGGCTGAAGTCATTGGGGAATTTTACCATCAACCTCAATGGGAGCAGGACTAAGGCCGATGGTTTGAGTCAAGTTCTGCTCCTAGATGTGTGTGGCAGCTCCCACAGCTCAAATGGGGTTTCACTTGTATAATACAGTGTACCCCTGTGTATTGGAAACCCTATTACCCAACCCTCCATTTTCTGAATCCCTTCTGTGTCCCAAGCATGAGATTCATGGAGGACAAGGAAGGGATTCAAATAATGTGGACGTTTGGATAATAGAGCAGAGACCCCAGGTCAGGACTAAGAGGAGGACGTGTCCCCAGCCACGGGGGAGGCCACTATACTGCTGAATGGCTCCTGTGTGGTGTACGAAGCCATCTGCAGCCCACCACGTCAAGAGTGAGTGAGCTGGGCCATCATAATGGAGCTGCAGCAGGTTCCCTGTGCTGCCACGGGGCCAGTGTTGGAGGGAGGGAGGCTGTGGTCCTGGTGGGGCAAAGCAGAGACCTTTGGCCATGACTGCAAAGAGGATGAGCCTTTGGTCAGGGGGAAGCCCTCCACTGCTGAATGACTCCTGCTCCCTCAATTATCCAAACTCCCACTTATCAGAAAAAAAAATGGACCTCATATTATTCCAGTAACAGGTATATACTGTATTTACCTCTTTGAGTAGTTTGTCTGTTCAGCACAGCAGAAGTCTATGGGCTAAATCCTGTTCTTAGTTACACCAGAGAAACCTGATTGGCTTCTGTGGGATTGCTCACATGTACACATTGAGCTGATAAACATTTTCCAATGCAGCAGTTCTCTATTGTCAAATGAACATTTGCTGTGAACATACAAATATTTGCAATGAAAACATTATGAAGATGTTTCATTTTGATAATCTTGAAAGATTTTATTTTGAAGCACTATGTTTCAGCTTTTTACAATATATAATATCTAATGGTTTTACAATATCTTGGAAGGAAATTTCAGGTTTTGACAAGTTCTAGTAAATTTGACACAGTATTTCACCAAAAAGCCACCTACTAATCTGCTAGTGTGGAGGTAAGTGTATGAGCTTTTCCCATGTGGAGATAAAGTATTCTGAAATATGTGAGAAACTCCTTGATTAAAGGATGGATCACAATAGTGGATAATGGTCAACAAATATAGAGCCATCAATTGTGGATGATCGTAATCCATATGGCCTAGTTGAATACCTTAGAGATGCTTAATGGTGATAATTTTAAAGGGTCATAAGGGTTTTAGGTGCACAGTTCCCACTGAATGTCAGTGAGAGTTAGGGACCTTCATCCCTTAAACTAGTTTGAAAATCCTAATTTAAATTCTCGGGTGGGTAAAAGGTTCAGCTTACAGAGGCTCTCCAACATTTATAGATGTATTCTGAACTTTATCAGAGCCTCTTGAGTATGGAAATCTCGTGAGAACAGGTTCTGTCATGATAATTCTCATTTGGACCAACTGTTGTCATAGGATTTGGAGCCTTTTCACTTTTATTCCAGGCTGGGATCAAGAAGAGCAAAGGCACTTGAAAATTAAAGTTGTTTAAAAAAAACAAAACCAATCTTGGGTGGCAATAATTGTATCTGGTTTTTGAACAGCCAAGATTAAGGTTTTCCAAATGTTGTACTCTGAGTTCATACTCATTAACTTCAACGGGAGCAAGACCAAAGCATATGGTTCTGAACCAAAAGCTATCTTTAAAAAATGCTACTGTGGCAAAAAAAGATCCCATTGAGTTTGGGGTAGATTTTTGGAACAGTTTTTATTTTATTCAAAGTAGCTCACCCATCTTTAGTGATAGTGTCCTACACTGGAATGGAAACTGTTGCTTTTTGAGGTGCTAGATGAAGAATCGAAGTTTTATTATGTATGTATTATGTATGTTTTTCTTGTGTCAAGTCTTCTAGGGACTAATCCAAAGCCCACTCAAGTCAACGGGACATGACGGGGCTCTGGATCAAGTCTATAGACAGGAGACAGGTCTAAATTGCTATCTTTAGGTAATAATATCTGGTGCTCTTCACTTCTGGTCTGTCACTATCCAGTGTGTAGTAAGCATAAACCAACATACAGATATTGTGGAAGAAGCTAGAAAAACATGAGACTAAGAAATATCAGGAATCAATATAAGATTGCTCATCTGTGAAAAAGAAATTGCCTAAGGAAAAACTAGGACGTGAATTACCCAGAGACAAATTGCTGTCTTGGTCCCTGGAGGAAGACTAAATTTTGCTAAGCACTAGTTAATAAAAATAAACAATCAATCTAAAATTACCCTAGAAAAACTCGTCCAAACCACGTCCATTATTTATAGGTGGATTATTTTGTTTACTAAATTATAGAACATGTCATTCTTACTCTGCAGGCAGAATTCACAGCCATGAGGGACCAATATATGCGAGGTGGAGAGGGTTTCATTATCTGCTATTCCATCACAGACCGCCAATCCTTTCAGGAAGCTGCAGAGTTTAAGGAGCTCATTTATCGTGTCCGGCACACTTATGACATCCCATTGGTGCTGGTGGGAAACAAAATAGATCTTGAGGAGTTCAGGCAGGTAAGTGAAGTTTCTTCCTGCTCCTTTTCCTCTGCTATGTTAGGAGTTTATGCAGCATGTGCCATATGGTACTGTGGAGAATTATTGACCCAGAATAGGCATGGATCAAAGAGCAATGCACCAGGATTGTTAATAAATTAAGGTAAATATTACTGTTCATTTGTATAACCCTTTTCAATCTAACGGAGCCTATTCCACTCATATCCGCAACTAGCAGTTTTTGTAAACTGATCATATTTGCCCTGGAATCTACTTACATATCAAACATGGAAACCCAGGATGCGATTTATACATAATAGAATTGCACTTTAAATAAATGATGTAAGTTGGGTATAGAAAAATATAACCGTTTAAAGTGCTGTCCTCTAGTTCATTAGCATCTGTGTTCATGCAAGCCAATCTCCTTTTCACCTTTTAGCATGTCACCCCCATGTGTTCCCTCTCCTTTTCCTTAGAAAATCCAAAGCAACAATAGGAGTGAAATTAGTTTGGGGACTCTGAGAAACATCTAAAGAGTTTCACATTTCTTTCCAAATCATTGACTTTCTCCCTAAATCAGACTGAGACAAAAGCCTAATGGTGACAATCCAGCTGTAGCATAATGCTCAGCTTGAGACCTTGAACAACAGTGCTCGGTGTAATATTCTGTAAAATACATGTAACTCTTGAGGTGCAATATATATATATATATATAGGGTGGAGGAAGGGATGTGAATTCAATCATTCCACTAAGAATATTCCATTACATATAACAGGAGTTCACTATCTTTAATTTCTTTATCTATAGATGATTTTTCAGCAAGTCACTACTTGCAATGATATTTGTGTTAGAGGGTGAGGGGAATAAAAATCTTTCCTATCAGACAGCCCCTGCAGTGTTGAGGAGGATGAAAGGCCCAGGGAAGTAGAGCAGTCAACGGGAGCAGAGGGAAACCTTCCCATAGTTGGGACCCTCCTTCCAGATAGTGTTGGGGTATCCTCTCGCACTGAGGTTACCTCTCCGGGTAAGGGAACTCCAATCACTAGAAAAAGGCAGGTGTTAGTAATGGGAGATTCGATCATTAGAAACATAGATAGCTGGGTTTGTGATGACCAGGAGAACCGTATGGTGATTTGCCTGCCTGGTGCGAAGGTTGCGGATCTCTAGAGGCATCTAGACAGACTTATGTGTAGTGCTGGGGAGGAGCCGGTACCAGTGACATAGGGAAGGGTAGGAGAGACATCTTGGAGGCCAAAGTTAGGCTGCTAGAGAAGAAACTGAAATCCAGGACATCTATGGTGGCATTCTCAGAAATGCTTCCAGTTCCACGTGCAGGGCCAGATAGGCAGGCAAAGCTTCAGAGTCTCAATGCATGGATGAGATTATTGTGTAGAGAAGAGGGGTTTAGATTGATTAGAAACTGAAACTGGAGAAACTTTTGGGATAGGGGGAGCCTATACAGGAAGGATGGGCTCCACCTAAGCCAAAGTGGAACCAGGCTGCTGGCACTTAACATTAAAAAGGTTGAAGAGCAAATTTTAAACTAAGAGATGGGGGAAAGCCTTGGGAATGCAGAGGAGCACGTGGATCGGAGAGAGACTTCTCTTAGAGGAGAGTCTATTGATAGAGATTCTCTAGGTTTTAGTCAGGAGGAGAGGATGGACGAGGCTAAAGTAGGGGCAAGATCAGACAAGAAATATTCACATAAAAAAGAATCCAACATATCAGAAAAGGGCAGACAAATAAACAGTGCCAAGTTTTTAAAGTGCTTGTACACAAATACTAGAAGTCTAAATAATAAGATGGGTGAACTACAGTGCCTCATGATAAAGGAGAATATTGATATAATAGGCATCACAGAAACTTGATGGCGTGAGGACAATCAATGGGGCACAATCATTCTGGGGTACAAAATTTAACAGAAGGACAGAACAGGCCATGTGGGGGGGAGAGGCGTGGCACTATATGTGAAAGAAAATGTAGAATCAAATGAAGTAAAAATCTTACTCCACATGTTCCATAGAATCTCTATGGATAGTAATTTCATGCTCTAATAAGAATATAACATTAGGGATCTATTATTGACCACCTGACCAAGGCAGTGATAGTGACGATGAAATGCTAAGGGAGATTAGAGAGACTATCAAAATAAAGAACTCAATAATAGTGGGGGATTTCAATTAACCCCATATTGACTGGGAACATTTCACCTCAGGATGAAATGAAGAGACAAAATTTCTCAATACTTCAAATGACTGCTTCTTGGAGCAGCTGGTACAGGAACCCGCAAGAGGAGAGGCAATTCTCGATTTAGTCCTGAATGGAGTGCAGGATCTGGTCCAAGAGGTAACTATAACAGGACCACATGGAAATAGTGACCATAATATAATAACTTTTAACATTCCTGTGGTGGGAAGAACACCTCAGCAGCCCAACACTGTGGCATTTAACTTCAGAAAGGGGAACTATGCAAAAATTAGGAGGTTAGTTAAACAGAAATTAAAAGGTACAGTGACTAGAGTGAAATCCCTGCAAGCTGGACACTTTTCAAAGACCCCATAATAGAGGCTAAACTTAAATGTATACCCCAAATTAAAAAACACAGTAAAAGAACTAAAAAAAAAAAAAGAGTCACCATGGCTTAATAACCATGTAAAAGAAGCAGTGGGAGATAAAAAGGCATTTTTTAAAAAGTGGAAGTCAAATCCTAGTGAGGTAAATAGAAAGGAGCATAAACACTGCCAAATTAATGTGTGAAAATATAATAAGAAAAGCCAAAAAGAAGTTTGAAGAACAGCTAGCCAAAAACTCAAAAGGTAATAACAAAATGTTTTTAAGTACATCAGAAAGCCTGCTAAACAACCAGTAGGGCCCCTGGATGATCGAGATACAAAAGGAGCACTTAAAGATGATAAAGTCATTGCGGAGAAACTAAATGAATTATTTGCTTCAGTCTTCACGGCTGAGGATGTTAGGGAGATTCCCAAACCTGAGCCAGCTTTTGTAGGTGACAAATCTGAGGAATTGTCACAGATTGAGATGTCACTAGAGGAAGTTTTGGAATTAATTGATAAACTTAATAGTAACAAGTCACCGGGACCAAATGACATTCACCCAAGAGTTCTGAAAGAACACAAATGTGAAATTGCAGAACTACTAACTATTGTTTGTAACCGGTCCTTTAAATCGGCTTCTGTACTTAATGAGTGGAAGATAGCTAATGTAACACCAATATTTAAAAAGGGCTCTAGAGGTGATCCCGGCAATTACAGACCGATAAGTCTAATGTCAGTACTGGGCAAATTAGTCGAAACAATAATTAAGAATAAAATTGTCAGACACATAGAAAAACATAAACTGTTGAGCAATAGTCAACATGGTTTCTGTAAAGTGAAATTGTGTCTTACTAATCTATTAGAGTTCTTTGAAGGGGTCAACAAACATGGGGACAAGGAGGATCCAATGGACATAGTGTACTTAGATTTCCAGAAAGCCTTTGACAAGGTCCATCACCAAAGGCTCTTATGTAAATTAAGCTGTTATGGGATAAAAGGGAAGGTCCTTTCATGGATTGAGAACTGGTTAAAAGACATGGAACAAAGGGTAAGAATTAATGGTAAATTCTCAGAATGGAGCGGGGTAACTAGTGGTGTTTCCCAAGGGTCAGTCCTAGGACCAATCCTATTCAACTTATTCATAAATGATCTGGAGAAAGGAGTAAAAAGGAAGGGGGCAAAGTT